ATTTTGTACTCGGTTTAAAATGAGTAAAAAATTTATGTGCTCATGAATTCAAATGTAATCTTCAAATGTAGACTCTTCAAATGTAAACTTCAAATGTACTCAGTTTCAGATCAACTCAGTTTATAAAACCAGTTTACTTTCAAATTCTTTAGCCTTAAGAACTTAAGTTAGAGGGATCATACTTTCTGATTTCAAAATGTATTACAAAGCTACAGGAGTAAGAACAATGTGATCCTGGCAAAAGGATAGACATGTTGATGCCATATATATACTGTTTCCTTACTATATAATTTAATAGAACAATATTGAGAATCTATAAATAAATCTTCACGTTTACAGAAATTAATTTTCAATGATGCCAAGACCACTCGATAGATAAACTATATGTTTTTCAGTAAATGGTGAGAGGGTAACTGGCTAGTCATGTGACAAAAAATAAAGCTGGGCTTCTGATGCATAACATGTGCAAAAATTTATGCAAAATGGATTAAAGGTCTTGATGTAAGGGATAAAACTGTAAAACTATCAGAAGAAAACATAAATCTTTGTGACCTTTGGTTAAGCAATGGTTTCTTAGGTATTACATCAAAAGCATAAGGACAAAAGGAAAAATTAGATATATTTTTTAAATTAAAAATTTTTAATTTTTTAAAATTAAAATTAAAAAATAGATACATTTAAATTTAAAATGTTTGTGCTTCAAGGGATACCATTAGAAAAGTAAAACATGATTTACAGAGTGGAAAAAATGTTTTTAAACCATTTTATCTGATCAGAACTTCTATCCAAAATATATAACGAATACTATAATAAATATAAAACCCAATTTGTTTTCTTTCTATATGTTTGTTTTTATACCTTTGAGCTAACAAAAGTCAATGGTTTTGAAGTATACTTGCATATAAACATTAAATGGAGGATTTATCGAAATAACTTGCTGCTACTCATTCGTTTTATATGTAGCCTGAGTCACATGTGAGAACATTGTGATGGTTATTATTTAAGTGTCAACTTGATTAGATTGAAGGGTGCAAAGTCTTGTTTCGGGGCATATCTGGGAGTTTCCTGGCTTTACTAGAGGGGATTGACTTTTTAGTCAGTGGCCTGGGAGAGGAAGACTCAGTCTCAGAAAGACCCACCCACAACATGGGTGGACATCATCCAAGCTGCTGCCAGTATGGCTCAAAAAAGCAGACAGAAAAAGGTACAATAAGCAAACTTGTCCAGCCTTGTGGCCTTCATTTTTCTACTGTACTTGATGCTTCCTTCCCTCAAACATTAGACTCCAAGTTCTTCAGCTTTTGGCTTCATGGACTTACATCAGTGGTTTGCCACGGGCTCTCAGGCCTTTGGCCACAGACTGCACTGTTGGGTTCCCTAATTTTAAGGTTTAAGGACATGAATTCACTTTTTTGCTCCTCAGCTTGCAGATATCCTATCATGGGACTTCACCTTGTGATCATGTGAGTCAATTCTCCAAACAAACTCCCCTTCATATGTACATATATCCTATTAGTTATGTCTCTCTAGAGAACCCTGACTAGTACAAACATAACCTAGTTATACTCTACATTATTATGGATTAGAGACTTAGATAAATCTTAACTTATAAATTATAATATATAGACAAATGTTACAGAGTGACTCAGTCACTCTAAGTCATAACCATATGCTGTCATTAATAGTAGATGAAAGAAACAGAAGTAATTTGATTTAGGACTCTTTTGATCATAATTGGTTTTAATTCTTAAGTAGATTACTACATAGATACAATATTTTTGAGAAAGGAATTTGTAATGACTAGCAAATAAAACTTCAGAGAAGACATAACTCCATTAACAATTATTTAATGGAACTGATAGATGAGTTACAAACATTAATATATCTATTTATTCATAATAATAGCATAGGCTGGTTTAGTGCACTAATATTTACAACGAATTGATCAAAACCTTGTACATTTCTTTGTTGCTTCTTGACTCCCACTGCTTCACTTGCCTAACCTTAACAATTAATAACAATACTGTAAAGGCTTAAAGTGAATTCGTGTGGAATTAATATACACAATGTATTTTGATTTTAACAAGATATTTAATAGAACTCCAAAACACTATCTGCAAACGGGAATTTATAACAAATAAGTAGCCATTATTTTTTAAGAGAAATGTGTCAGTGACCTCTATTTTAGGTACAAATGTTGTTATTATTTTACTCAAATTTTATTGAAGTGTTTTTATAAAGCCATGAAAATTTAATGTATTCTATTTAAGATTACTAAATATAATAAATTGTAAAGAGTATGCATGAATATTAAAGATGGTAATATTCACTATGATGTCCAAGTTGAAACAAACAGGATGTTCTTTAATGATTATTATAATACATAAATTTGCATGTCTTCCACATCCAAACTTCCTTCTCTAAGTAGCAGACCTCACTTCTACAGACTACATACTTACATTTACGTTTATACTATTTGTGCCCACTCTTCTGGTCATAATAGCTATTTTGATAATAGTAAATATACGTATTCAGTTTTCTATTTTTTTTATTTTATTGCATTTTAGGTTTTGGGGTACATGTGAAGAACATGCAAGATTGTTGTTTTCTATTTTTAACAAATGAATTCCTAAGAAGTTAATGAAGAAGTCATGCAAAAGAGCCTAGTAAATTTATTTTTTAACTACAAGTTCAATATAGACAAATACTGCATTTGAATCTAATATTTTCCTGGATTAACCAGAAAAGACAGTATCCAAATCAATATTGTGAAATGGCCCCACCATCATCCTGTCTTATTGAGAACATTTTTTTCCTATACGTTTTAGGAGTGTACTAAATACAGTAGAGCCCTAATTACATTAAATATCTTAAAGAAACATTGTATGGAGAATAAGTGGAAAGTGTGGATGGAAATCTAAAATTATTCTCCAGCTCTTGGGAATCGAGCCCAGGGATCTTCATCCATTATGTTCATTTAGATGATACAATTCTGGACTTCAAATCAATATTGTGATTGGATGAGACAAATTTGGGGAAAGATTTGTTTTATTTTGCACAAGGAGGGGTGAGAAATGCTGAAGATTGAAGACAGTGGTGAATTATATATGAAAATGACCACCCAAAATTCTTCAAATGTTTGTCTGTATACTTATTCTGTCTAGAAGTGAAGTCTATTATTTTTCACCTTTAAATCTAGACTGGATTGTGAGGTACTTGTACTGCTAAATGTGGAAAATGTGACATCGTGCTAGCTTGTTCTTAAGCACTTAATAGGCCTTCCCAAAAAGTAAAATAAAATATGAAGAGAGGCCGGATGCAGCGGCTGACTCATGTAATCCTAGCACTCTGGGAGGCTGGTGGGTAGAGCACGAGGTCAGGAGTTCAAGACCAGCCTGACCAACATGCTGAAACCTCGTCTCTACTAAAAATAAAAAAATATATAAAAATTTGGCCATGGTGGCTCATGCTTATAGTCCCAGCTACTTGGGAGGCTGAGGCAGGAGAATGGCTTGAACCCAAGAGGCAGAGGTTGCAGTGAGCCAAGATCATCTCACTGCACTCCAGCTGCGAAGACGGTGTAAGACTCCATCTCAAAAAATAAATACATAAATAAATGAAGAGAAAAGAGACAGTAAAGAGGAAAAACAAGAGCAGAGCCCTAGCGAAAGCAAAATCAAAAGAATGGCTGAAAGAATATCTGAAAAATAAAGACAAAGAAGTAAGACCAGAAATGGACAAAGCAAAGTTTGAAACAAAACAAAATATGTGATAGTATGGGGGAATAAAGAATGTAAAACTTGGGATTATAAAATGGCTATTAAATGTGGCAGTTAATTTATTCATTATACACACACACACACACACACACACACACGTATTGACCACTCTATACAGAACTCACTGTTCTAGATTTGTATTTAAAAAGGCACTAAAATATACTTGTTGATTTCAAATCATTTGTTAAGTAATAAGGAAGGATATTTATTACCTCAACAAAATACCTGTTACCAGAGTGATGGGACAAAAGGTGAGACACATCAGTAGGTGAAAAAATGAAAGACCGAGTAGGATCATAAATGCGGATCTTTCACTCATCGTGATTGATAGTTGACTATCAGGAGATTGAACTAAAACATAGAAGGTGATTGAAATTTTAAATAAAACGTATTTTCTATTATTTTGTTTGAAGAAATTTGAACATGAGAATACAATGCGGGAGGTGGAGGAGAAGATTAAGGCTCTCATATTACTCATCACACGCACGCACACACACACACACACACACACACACACACACACACACCCCGGATTAACTAAAGCTTTATACTTACAATGTAAAAATAAATCTATAAAGGAGAATATAACGGAGTGGAATGAGGAAATTGTAAGAGAAAAAGGTGACAAAAATTAGTATAGAGAAAACATTAAAACAGGGTGATAAAAATAATTGCAAACCATGAATATGTGTGTGTGTTTGTAGGTTTTCGCTCACACAAACACACATCTATTTAGTAAGAGTGATTGTGAATACATATTTGCAAGGCATATAACCAAAAAATCCATAAAAATAAGTAATGCTATTTAGTAGCTACTGTGGTTTTGATGGTATATAGAAAAATGTGAAGGCATCAGACCAGATTCTTCATTATAATCAATTTAAAAAGAAAAGGTGAGATTATTAACTTTTATAAAATATATATTTATGTTACTTTCCTAATTTGAATGGCTATAAGTTACTCTTGTAAATGTAAATATTCATAGACTTTTAAAAATAAGACAAAATAGATAGGAGTTCCATTGACTTGAACTGTGTGAGGAAATATATGGTATCAGATGGATGAGAATAAGAGTTGAGCAAACAGTGACTATGTCAGTGTCCCTAGAGAAAAAGGCCAATAGATACAGAGAGCGAATGGTAAGTCAGGAAGCTGAGACCAAATAAATGACAGTCTTCAGTTTCATGCAAATGAATTTATTGTTTTTTCCTTTGTAGGCTTTTGGTAACCCATAGAAGTATTTGATCAGAGATGTGAATGCAAGTTTTTAAGAAGATCATCTGACAGTGTTGTACATATGTATTGGAGTAAGAAAATACACACCAGTGAGATGAGGTAGGAAGCAAGAACAATTGTCCCCACATGGGAGGTGACAAAGACCATTATTTCTCTGTAATATTTAGAGTGTTATATCAACTGAAATGATTTACCTTGCTAAATTGTGAATGGCTTTATAATTTCTTCCCAAATTTACTTTCGATAACAGAACAATGAATGTCATATTGATCCATGTTTTATTCAAGTCTTCTAACTCAACTAGAGCCTAAATTTTCATGCTGTATTTGGCAGGGACATCTGTCATCATAATTTTGTAAAATAATGCTCGAAAATGAAAATTAAAAACCTAGTTACAATTGTCTGAAATTTGTCAGTACTGTTCTATGATAATTCTGAAAAGGAAGATAAACTCAGCTTAGGAAAAAAAGAAGAAAGGAACTGAGCTATTTAATCTTCTTATACTCATAATTGCAAGCTATGATAATTCTTTACATTGTGTGCACCTAGTACTTTCACATGACTAGGCTTAGACATCCTTGAGTATTTCAGTAAAAATGAAGTTTCTATTGTAATAGGTGTCTGTTTTGTGACCAAGATTATACTTTTACTTTACCTTTCAATACCTGTTATGTATCTTTCATACTCAGACTATCAGATGGTTATTTTAGCACAATATACATGTGGAATGTTCACATATCTATTTTTCTTCCTTGTGTCTAGGTTATGTTCACAGACAGATGCATTAACAGTGAAAGCTGTTGAAAAGATTTTTCCATTCATGGATTTTAATGAGAAAGGATGAAGAATCAAAGTCCTTTTAAGGATTAAGCAAAGGATTGGGTATGTATTGTATTAGAAAATCTTACCAATTTGCATATAAAGTATAGGATTTAGCTTGGTATAAATATATATGTGTATATTTTATAAAGAATAACAGAAAATGTTTCCACTCTTATAAATGCAAAAATAGAGAGAGAACATCTGGTAGAGAGAGTAATTATATTAGTATTCATCACATAATATTTATAATACAGGTGTGCATTCTAAAAATTTATTTTGTTCTGAAAAACAACATTTGTTAGTGGCAGAAATTATGCAGCAAGAAAATTAGGATATATTGGATAGTTTTATTGGTATACTTCAGGGATGTGAAGGAGGCTTTTGTGATTTACCACAGACCTTATGAAAGAACAGGATGCTTAAATTTGAGCCCCTTCTATTTATTTAAATATCTATCTATCTATCATCTATCTAACTACTTATTTGAGACAGAGTCTTGCTCTCTGGCCAGGCTGGAGCGCAGTGGCGTGATCTCAGCTCACTGCAACTGCCACCTTCCGAGTTCAAGGGATTCTCCTGCCTCAATCTCCAAGTAGCTGGGATTACAGGTGCACCACCATACCCAGCAAAATTTTCTGTATTTTCAGTGGAGACAGGATGTCACTGTGTTGGTTAGGCTTGTCTTGAACTCCTGACCTCGAGGGATCTTCCTGCCTCGGCCTCCCAAAGTGCTGGGATTACAGGTGTGAGCCATTGTACCAGCCGTCTACTCACTTTAAGTAACACTATATACTCATACAAAAATTCTTACATGTCAGATCAATAAAATACTTGAATGTTGTGTTACTTTTTCTGTGCTCTTTGAACCAATAATTTGGAAAAGTTAATATTTTTCACTATAGGAATGAATATAGGCTGTACATTTATTTTTTGGGTTTTTACTATGCTTTAAGTTCTGGGGTACATGTGCAGATCATGCAGGTTTGTTACATAGGTATACACGTGCCATGGTGGTGGTTTGCTGCATCCATTTCCCCATTATCTACATCAAGTATTTCTCCTAATGCTATCCCTCCCCAATCACCCCCATACCCTGCTATTCCTCCCCTAGCCCAGCAACCCCCAGTCCCCAGTGTGTGATGTTCCCTTCTCTGGGTCCATGTGTTCTCATTGTTAAACACCCACTTATATGTGAGAACACGCGGTGTTTGGTTTCCTATTCGGGTATCAGTTAGCTTAGAATGAGGGTTTCCAGTCTCATCCATGTCCCTGCAAAGGAAAGAAACTCATCATTTTTTATAGCTGCATAGTATTCCATGGTGTATATGTGCCACATTTTCTTTATTCGGTCTATCATTGATGGGCATTTGGGTTGGTTCCAAGTCTTTGCTATTGTGAACAGTGCTGCAGTAAACATACATGTGCATGTGTCTTTATAATAGAATGATTTATAATCCTTTGGGTATATCTCAGTAATGGGATTGCTGGGTCAAATGATGTTTCTATTTCCGGATCTTCGAGGAATTGCCACTCTCTATTCCACAATGGTTGAACTAATTTACACTACCACCAACAGTGTAAAAGTGTTCCTATTACTCCACATCCTCTGCAGCATCTGTTGTCTCCTTTTTTTTT